AAGGGATTATATGTATATTGATACATTATAATATATAGTTAATTATAAATTAAAACTATATATTATGAGAGAAACTATTTGAATGAGATTCAAATAAAATTAATATGAATAAGATTCATATTAATACTATAGATTAAAAATAAAATGCATAAGATGTACATTAGAACTATAGGTTATACGAGAGAAATGTTATAGAATATGATTCTATTTTTGTTATAAATAATTAAGTATTAATTATTTATTTGATTTATATATATATATATTAATTATTAATTGGATTAAAAATTAAAAATTATTTATTAATTAATATGATTAATTAATAAATTAATTTTTATATTTTAATTATTTTATATATTATATATATATATATTAATTATTTATATATAAATATATATATATATATATTATTATTATTATTATTAATATTATTAATATTAATAATATTAAACTCCCCTACAAAATTGTAGGGGAGTGGGAGGTTAGTGTGACGTGGGGAGTTGCCCCACGTCACCACTTCTGTTTTGTTTTTGCAGTTTTGCAAAAACACAGAACGAAGAAGAAGAACCTCACCCGTTTTCTCTCAATCAAGAAGAACTCTCTCAAGCTCTCCCTCTCGTTCCAAAGGATTGCTCCCACCAGCACGATCCCGAGACCCAAGAGGATAGCGAGGAAGACACAGTGGTGGTGTTCGAGGGAAACTCGTTGAAGAAACGTTCTTCAAAGGTTCGAATTTCCCTTGTATTTTTCTTCTGTAAAATTCGATTTTGTATCCTGAAAATCAGCAACGAAAATCCGCTTCCGCTCCGGGATTCACATCCCTTCAGGGCTGCTCTTAAGCTCTCCTAAGTCCATAGCCTTGTAAGCTGCTAAGGAGATGATGTCGGCTGAGCTGCCCCCGTCAACCAAGATTCGATGCACCTTTGTGTTGGCTACTTGTAAGGTGATAACCAACGCATCGTTGTGTGGGTGGAAGAGGTGAACAGTCTCATCTTCCAAAAATTCTATCCTTACGGGTCGTTCGACAAATGCTGCGTGGTAGACCTCATATTGCCCGAGGCCCATCCTTGCTTCCCGTAGACTTGCCTTTCTCTTCCTGCCAGACTCCTATTCTGTTGAACCTCCCATGATCGTACGAATTTCTCTGGCAGGGGATTTGTTGTCATTTTCCATATTTGGAGTTGCTTTGAGATCATCCACATATTCTTTGAGGTACCCTTTCCGAATGAGCCCTTCTACCTCTTCTTTAAGATCAAAGCAATCCTGTGTAGCATGTTAATGGTCTCTGTGGAAGAGGCAGTATCGCCCTTTACTTCTCTTGTTCGGAGGCGCCTTCATCCTCTCTGGCCATTTA